GTGCAAACCCTCTTTTGCCTAACTCTCTCTTGCCTAGCTAGGTAAACCCTAGCTATGGCTCCTCACTATACCTACTATTTTGAGATGCTATCAGAGCAGTGTCGCTCCTGGCCTGTGGGCCCGCCTGCTTCCACTGCCCTACTGTCTGTCGCGCGCCCCGTGGCGTGCGATGTACATTTTTTCTTCCCGCCACGCGCTCGGGGCGCGTGGCGGTTTTCTGCCCGCCATGCGCTCGGGACGCGTGGCGGTTTCCGTCAACCCGCGCGCCCGTCCCCGTCGACCTTCGCGCGGCTCCCCGTCGCCCTTCGCGGCGGCCCCGTCGACCCGCCCGCGGCTCCCCGTCGCCCTTCGCGGCGGCCCCGTCGACCCGCCCGCGGCTCCCCGTCGCCCTTCGCGGCGGCCCCGTCGACCCGCCCGCGGCTCCCCGTCGACCTTCGTGGCGGCCCCGTCAACCCGCGCGCGGATCCCTGTCGCCCTTCGCGGCGGCCCCGTCGACCCGCGCGCTGCCCCCGGGGACCTATGCGCTCGTCCCCGTCGACCCACGCGTCGCCCTCCCCCCCCCCCCTCCCCGACACACCTGAGTCTGCTTACCGCACACCTGAGTTCGCTTCCCGCACACTTGTGCACGATTCGCGCACACCTGAGGTCGCTTACCGCACACTCAGGGTATGGGGGTGACGGGTATGGGGGTGGCGGGTGTGTGAGACGTCACCTGCTCCTCCTTCTCCTCTGTCTCCCACTGCTGCAGCTGCCGCTGAGGGGGGTGGGTGTGTGGGAGTCGACGGAGTGGTGCTAGGGGGTGGGGTGTGAGTGACCCTAGGGGTGCAGTAGGGGGTGTGTGAAATGGGGGTGGGATAGTTTGGGGAGGTTGAAGGGGGTGGCCGCCGAGACCGTTGCGCCATTCGCCCGTGAGCCCGTTGCGCCAGTCGCCCGTGAGCCCGTTGCTCCAGTCGCCCGTGAGTCCGTTGCTCGTCTACCGCTACTTTTAGCCGCGGAGCCAGTTACTCCAGTAGCCCGTGTGCCAGTTGCTCCAGTTGCCAGTGTGCCAGTTGCTCCAGTTGCCCGTGTGCCAGTTGTCAGAGGTCCACTGGTGATCCCCGATTGATCCTAGGGAAGGGTTACAGGCTCGTTGTCCTGGGGGGTTATGGGCGCACTGACCCGCTACTTAACAAGCCCTTTTATCCCAATGGTCTAGTGGTTGGGATTCTGACACAAGTTGCTCCAGTTGCGCCGTGTGCCAGCAGCTTCAGCCGCCGCCCACTACCTCCTCTCCTCTCATAGTCCCTCCTCCTCCACACTAGCCCTCTGCGATAGCCTCTAGCTTTGCTCATAATTGTGAACTTTAAACTATTGCTTCTTGAACTTGTGCTCAGAATGTGTGGTGACATTGTGATCCACCCTGAGCTTGTACTGCTGATTACACCCCACTTTGGCTATGGGGGTGTGTCAGAATATTATGCTCTAGCCTGTAGTGGGGTGCTCTATAGCGAGTACAACCCTTTTAGGGTTTGCTATTTGTATCCTCATTCTTGCTAGTGCAAACCCTCTTTTGCCTAACTCTCTCTTGCCTAGCTAGGTAAACCCTAGCTATGGCTCCTCACTATACCTACTATTTTGAGATTCTCCTCTTTATTTTGGTCTTTATCTCATCTCAATCGGCCTAGTATTCCATTTTCTAGAGGCTTCTATTTATTTCAGTGCTCTCAGCTCTGCCTTTGGATGAGTCCGTAGAGTCGAGTGGCCCGTACCCAGAGCTTGTTGGTTGCCTCATGTACCTGATGACCTGCACACGACCTGACCTTGCATACCCTCTTAGCATCTTGGCACGCTATGTTGCTCCTGGGAGACACCGACCAGAGCACATGGCTGCAGCGAAGAGGGTGTTGCGCTACTTGGAGGGCGGAGTCTAGTGGTCGGAGGGCGGAGTATAGTGGTCCTCACTGGGCACGCGGACGCTTCTTGGGCTGACGACCAGGCTACTCAGCGGTCGTCGCAGGGTTACACCTTCAGTCTTGGTTCTGGCTCTGTTTCGTGGCGGGCTACTCGCTCGTCTTCTGTTCTCGGCTCCAGTTGTGAGGCTGAGATCTACGCCGGGGCCATGGCTGCTCAGGAGCTTCGCTGGCTCACCTACCTGCTGACTGACCTTGGAGAGCCGCCTCGTTCTCCTCCAGTGCTGTACGTAGACAACAAGGCCATGCTGGCCTTGTGTCGAGAGCAGCGCCTGGAGCACAGAACGAAGCACATTGCTCTCCGCTACTTTCTTGCTCGTGAGCTGCAGCAGCGTGGTCAGTTGCGACTTGCGTACGTGGCCTTTGAGGCCAACACTGCTGATGTTTTCACCAAGGCACTTCCGCCTTGTGATCATCAGCGCTTCTGCACTCAGCTGGGACTTGTCCCAGTCTTGCCTCACTTGCTCACCTCTTGACCTTACTTGTACTCTTGCATATATATATACCTACTCTTGCTTGTTTAGACTTATATATATATGTCTCCTCTTGCATGTGAACTGGCCTTGTGGCCTTGACCTTGAGCTCAGACTGTGTGGTGACATTGTGATCCACCCTGAGCTTGTACTGCTGATTACACCCCACTTTGGCTATGGGGGTGTGTCAGAATATTATGCTCTAGCCTGTAGTGGGGTGCTCTATAGCGAGTACAACCCTTTTAGGGTTTGCTATTTGTATCCTCATTCTTGCTAGTGCAAACCCTCTTTTGCCTAACTCTCTCTTGCCTAGCTAGGTAAACCCTAGCTATGGCTCCTCACTATACCTACTATTTTGAGATTCTCCTCTTTATTTTGGTCTTTGTCTCATCTCAATCGGCCTAGTATTCCATTTTCTAGAGGCTTCTATTTATTTCTCTTATTTCCTACTTTTCCCACCGACATACCTATTATATGGCGCCGACAGCACCGACAGTGGTGTATACGGTGTAATATGGGCGTAATCCCAAGTGCCAATAGCCTTGCGTGCTTGTGCGCACTTGTGATTGTAGTATCGGGAAGGGCGTGTTCCCGAAGGTTCGTTTTATCTCGTTTATCCTTGTATTTTCCGAGTATAAAAATGCCTTGTATTCAGTTTTAGTGACAAGTTTCGATTGAGAATTTGATCCTGTGACACTTGGTAATCAGAGCCGTTCTCATTCGACGACTCTCGGCTAAGCAGCGGTCGCGGAAAAAATCGCCTCGAAAAACCGCCGGGGGCGACCAATTTGTGAAAGTTTAGAAGAGAGAAGAGAGGTTGCACTAGCAAGCAGCAAGATACATATAGGAAACTGTAAGGGGTTGTACTGCAGGCTAGAGAACAAAGATAACATTCTGACACAATTCGACGCCGATTTCTGGTAAGCACCAGTTCCGCGCTTCTCGAATTAACCCCCTCGCGTGGTTTCTAAACAGATGGGTTCGCCGGCGACCAACGACGTTACGCAGCAGCTCTTCGCGCAAATCGCCAAGATGGAAGCGGAGATGCGAGCGACGACTGAACGGTCGCGATTGGAGAACGAGTAGCTCCGAAACGAACTGCAGCGCGTTACGCAGCTCCTCTCGACCATGAACATGTCAAACATTAGATATGTTCTGCTTGTGTAGGCTACAGTGGGTTAGCCTATAGGGGGTACACAATTCTAGGGTTTCCTACTTGTACTCATTTCACTGCTAGTTCATTCATTCCTGTTCGCTTATTCTCACATGGTATAGAGCGGGTCCTTCTACGGACCGTTTTTTTCTTGGGCCCACCGAAGCGCCCCCCGAGGCGCGATCTTTTTTTTAGCGACCCCTCGGGTCGCCATTTCCCCTGCGGCCCCGCCGCCTTCACTGACGCGGCCCCGCCGCCTTCTCTGTCGCGGCCCCGCCGCCTGCTCTCACGCGGCCCCGCCCCGGCTCCTTCGCGGCCCCGCCGCCTGCTCTCGCGCGGCCCCGCCCCGGCTTCTACGCGGCCCCGCCCCGGCTTTCACGCGGCCCCGCCGACGGCTTTGTCGCGGCCCCGCCCAGGCCCTTACGCGGCTCCGCCGCCTGCTCTCACGCGGCCCCGCCCCGGCTCCTTCGCGGCCCCGCCGCCTGCTCTCGCGCGGCCCCGCCCCGGCTTCTACGCGGCCCCGCCCCGTCTTTCACGCGGCCCCGCCGACGGCTTTGTCGCGGCCCCGCCCAGGCCCTTACGCGGCTCCGCCGCCTGCTCTCACGCGGCCCCGCCCCGGCTCCTTCGCGGCCCCGCCGCCTGCTCTCGCGCGGCCCCGCCCCGGCTTCTACGCGGCCCCGCCCCGGCTTTCACGCGGCCCCGCCGACGGCTCTGTCGCGGCCCCGCCCAGGCCCTTACGCGGCCCCGCCGCCTGCCCCCGTCGCGGCCCGGTCACCTCCTGACGGCCCCGCCGTCCCTTCGTGACGGCCCCGCCGTCCCCTCCTGACGGCTCCTGCCGTCCCCTTCTACCGGCCCCGCAACTGCACCTGCTGGCCCCGCCGCTGCACCTACCGGCCCCCCCCACCACCCACCCCCCCCCTTTTCCCGTCGCCTGTCGAGGCGACCTGAGAGGCCAGCAGAGGGGTGGCAGGTGTGTGGCCTCCCCTGCTTCTCCTCCTCCTTCATCTCCCACTGCAGCAGCCGAGCCGCTCACCTGCAGCAGCCGAGCCGCCCCACCGCCGAGCCGCCCTGCACCCGAGCCGCCCAGCAGCCGAGCCGCCCTGCCGCCGAGCCGCCGGGTCGCTGAGCTGCTGAGCTGCAGTTGCTGCCGAGCCGCCCTGCCGCCGAGCCGCCGAGTCACCGAGCTGCTGAGCTGCAGTTGCTGCCGAGCCGCCTTGCCGCCGAGCCGCCCGAGTCGCCCGAGCCGCCGAGCCGCCGAGCTGCCGAGCCGCTGAGTCGCCGAGCCTACTCTTCCCACCACTGGTGAGCTCTTGCCCTGCTAGCACGCTGCGCGTCGCCTGCTTGCCTGCCTGCCTGCCTTTTGGCTTGCCTGGCTGCCTGCCTCCCTGCTGCTAGTCCTGCTTCTGCTTCTACTTGCGGAGCCAAATGCAGCCCCAGCGACGCCGGCGTGAGTCCCTCACGCCCCAGCAGCTGCGTGAGTGGTACGCTGGTTGGGGCTGTAGGGGTGGCGACGCTACTCCTACTTCCACTCCTGCTGCTTCTACTCGTGGTGGCGGCCAGATGCAGCTCCCGCGACCCTCTCGCGTGTCTCTCACGCCTCGCCAGCTTCGTGAGTGGTACGCTCAGAGTGGAGGGTCTCTCAGTGCTGTTCGCTGCTCTTACGTGATTCGCACTGGTACTCGGACTAGTCAGCCTTGTGGGACACGTAGTCATACACCGTCCAGCTGCTTCGCCCGTCTGAGCGACGCCTGGCGTACCGTGTTTGGCGACGAGGCTGAGCTTCCCGACTGGGTGGAGTTGCTTAGGCAGAGGGTAGATATATATGCTCTTGACTATGATGCTATTCTCACTGCCATGTATGCATTGCCTACTAGTGCTGACCGTGCCGGTCACCTGTGCGTCCCGCCTGACCCAGGTATAGGACGTGCTGCTCTAGCTACTGGTGAGGCTGCTGCTCTGGGTGCTAGTGAGTCTCCTGCTCCAGGTACAGGTGCGGCTGCTGCTCTAGGTGCTAGTGAGTCTGCTTCCTCAGGTGCGGGTGAGGCTGCGCTCTCAGGTACCGCGTTGGCTTCGGCCTCCCTCACCTTTACACTTGACTCTGGGGCTTCTCGCTCCTTCTTTCGGGACCGCACCACACTCACGCCGCTTGGTCGGCCGGTTGCAGTCTCCCTGGCTGACCCCTCTGGGGGTCCTGTCCTCGCTCACTTCTCCACTGTCCTCCCGTGTCCGGCTGCCCCCTCGGGCACCCTGTCTGGCCTGTACCTCCCCTCGTTCTCGACGAACTTGGTGAGTGGTGCAGACCTACAAGATGCGGGGGTTCACCAGTTCACTCCTGCGAGTCAGCGGGTGACCCACTGCACGGACGCACGCACAGGCCGGCACCTGGCCACGTTCTCGCGTCGGCCGGGGTCGAGCCTCTACACCCTGACCACTGAGTCTCCTCCTGTCCCCGCGTCCGGTCAGGTAGCAGCGTCGGGTCAGGTGTTTGCTGCTGCGTCCAGGTCTGGTCCTGAGTCTGCCCCCTGTTCGTGTCGCCTCCTGTCTCACGAGACTCTTCTGTGGCACCACCGTCTAGGCCACCCCTCCTTGCCCCGTCTTTGGGGCATGGCTTCCCGTGTCCTTGTCTCTGGTCTTCCCCAGTCTCTCCCTCCCCTTCCTTCGGGACCAGGACCTTCCTGTGTCCCCTGTGTCGAGGGGCGCCTCAGGGCTGCTCCTCACTCCTCCCAGTTTCCCCCGACAGAGGCTCCTCTGCAGACGCTTCACATGGACGTGTGGGGCCCGGCCCCCGTCCGTGGGCAGGGTCACGAGCGCTACTTCCTGTTGGTGGTTGACGACTACTCGCGTTACACCTCAGTCTTCCCCTTGCGCAGCAAGGGTGCTGTCACTGAGGTGCTGATCGACTGGATCCGCGAGGCTCGTCTCCAGCTCAGGAGGAGCTTCGGCTCGGACTTTCCTGTTCTGCGTCTGCACTCTGACCGAGGTGGGGAGTTCTCCTCTCGCCTTCTGCGAGACTACTGTCGTGCACAGGGGATCCGCCAGACCTTTACGCTTCCGGACTCTCCACAGCAAAATGGGATTGCTGAGCGCCGCATTGGCATGGTCATGGATGTCGCTCGTACGTCCATGATGCATGCGGCTGCCCCCCCATTTTCTGTGGCCGTTTGCGGTTCGGTACGCGGCGCATCAGCTCAACCTTCACCCCAGGGTCTCTCGGCCCGCGATGTCCCCAGTGTTACTGTGGACGGGGAAGGTTGGCGATGCGTCTGCGTTCCGTGTCTGGGGATCTCGGGCGTTTGTCCGCGACTTGTCTGCGGACAAGCTGTCCCCCCGTGCTGCTCCCTGTGTCTTCCTTGGCTTCCCCCCTGACGCTCCAGGGTGGCAGTTCTACCACCCCTCCTCTCGTCGTGTTCTGTCCTCCCAGGACGTCACGTTCGACGAGTCAGTCCCCTTCTACCGCCTCTTCCCCTACCGTACTCCTTCCCTTCCCCCCCCACCGGGCTTCCTGGTACCAGTTCCCCCCCCGGTAGACCCCCTCCCCCCTCAGGTTCCTGCCCCTTCAGGTGTGTCCCAGGTAGACACGGTCGAGCCAGTCGAGGTTGCTGCTGAGTCTGGTCCTGCTGTGGGTGCGGAGCCTGGGGGTGCTGCTGCTGGGGGTGCTGAGCCTGGGGGTGCTGAGCCTGGGGGTGCGAGGCCGGGGGGTGCTGAGTCTGGGGGTGCTGAGCCGGGGGGTGCTGAGCCGGAGGGTGCTACGTCAGGAGCTGCTGAGCCTGGGGGTGCTGGGCCTGGAGGTGCAGAGCCTGCGCCTGCTGGACCTGGGGGCTCTCCGGTTCTTCCGTCTCGGCGGGAGCCGCTCTCTCCACAGGAGCTGCGCGAGTGGTTTGCTCGCCGCTGGAGGCGTGCTGCTGGAGCTGGAGCTTCTTCGCCTGCTGAGGGTGCTGCCGGTCCCGGAGCTGCTGGGCCTGCGGGTCCTACTGGAGCTGGAGCTACTGAGTCTGGGGGTGCTGAGTCTGGAGCTGCTGAGCCTGGAGGTGCTGAGTCTGGAGCGGCTGTGCCTGGGGGTGCTGAGTCTGGAGCTGCTGAGCCTGGGGTTTCTCCTGCTGCTGCGTCTCGCCGGGAGCCCCTCTCTCCCCAGGAGCTGCGTGAGTGGTTTGCTCGCCGCTGGAGGAGTGCTGCTGGAGCTGGAGCTTCGTCGACCGTCGAGGGTGCTGGTGCTGCCGGTCCCGGAGCTGCTGGGCCTACGGGTCCTACTGGAGCTGGAGCTGCTGAGGGTGTTGGTGCTGAGACTACTGCTGTCTGTCCTGGCGGTGGTTCTGCTGCTGGTGCTGCTGGAGGTCCTGCCGCTGGAGGTGTTGGTGGCGCTGGTGCTGTCGCTGAGGGTGCTGGTGCTGTCCCTGCTGAGTCTGGAGCTGCCACGCGGCCTCGGCCGTACTTCGTTCCGCTCCTACAGCAGGTTCTTGGTCTTTCTCCTTCGGTAGAGTGTCCACAGCCTGTCCAGTCGCAGTCACTGTTGGAGCCTTCCTCTCCTCTGCCTGCTCCCTCTCCTTACACTGGTCCTACTGGAGGTCTTGCTGAGCGTCGTGAGCCTGCGTCTCGTCCCGCGTCGCCTGTTTGTGCTACTCGCGCTAGTGGTCGCGGTTCGCGTCAGCGTCCTCCTCCTGTCCCTGGCACGCACCGGATGTCTCTGCGTCCGTCCACTGCTCCTCTGCGTGCCCCTTTGCCTTCTCCTCCTGAGTCCTCTCTTCCTGCGCTTGCCGACCCTGAGTCGGACTCTCTTCGCGCTGCCAGTCCTACTGTCACGCGTCTGCTTGCTACTGTCGTCACTGGCCCCTCTTTTGAGTCCACTGCTGCGTCTGCTCCAGTCGCTGAGCTCGTTGACTTTGCTGCTCGCTGTCGTCTCGACTACGCTGCTGGTCTTGTTGCTGAGTCTGCGTCTGTCTGTCCTCCGTCCGTCGGGGGTGAGTGTGCTCTTGGCACGGACGTCCTAGAGGACATACAGGAGGAGTTACAGTGTCTAGCGGCTGCTTCACCTCATCTCGCGTCTGTACTGCTTGCCCTTGAGGGAGACCCGGATGCACTAGACATCCCGACTCCGCGTTCTTACGCGGAGGCCGTAGAGGGTCCCTACTCCTCTCAGTGGCAGGCAGCTATGGATGCAGAGATGGCTTCCTGGAAGTCCACAGGCACCTACGTTGACGCAGTTCCCCCTCCTGGGGCGAACATCGTCAGTGGCATGTGGATCTTCCGGGTGAAGCGGCCGCCGGGCTCTCCACCTGTCTTCAAGGCGCGGTACGTTGCTCGTGGCTTCAGTCAGCGGCAGGGAGTTGACTACTTTCAGACCTTCTCTCCCACCCCGAAGATGACCACTCTTCGGGTGCTGCTGCACATAGCCGCTCAGCGCGACTACGAGCTTCACTCTCTCGACTTCAGCACTGCGTTCTTGCAGGGTAGCCTGCACGAGGAGATCTGGCTGCGCCGTCCACCTGGCTTCACTGGGACTTTCCCTCCTGGCACCCAGTGGAGCCTCCGACGGCCAGACTACGGTCTCCGCCAGGCACCGCGTGAGTGGAACGACACACTGAGGACTACGCTGGCGGCACTTGGGTTTGCTCCTTCTACTGCTGACCCGTCGCTGTTTCTGCGCACCGACACTTCACTGCCGCCGTTCTACATCCTCGTGTACGTCGACGACTTGGTCTTTGCCACAGCGGACACTGCTGGACTCGCCTACGTGAAGTCCGAACTGCTGAAGAGACACACGTGCACAGACCTGGGTGAACAGCGCAGCTACCTTGGCTTGCAGATCACTCGGGACAGAGCACGCCGCACCATTACCTTGACTCAGTCACACATGGTGCAGCAGGTCCTTCAGCGCTTCGGCTTCACGTACTCCTCGCCTCAGGCCACTCCTCTGCCTACTCGCCACTCACTCTCAGCTCTGCCTTCGGATGAGTCCGTAGAGTCGAGTGGTCCGTATGCAGAGCTTGTTGGCTGCCTCATGTACCTGATGACCTGCACACGACCTGACCTTGCATACCCTCTGAGCATTCTTGCACGCTATGTTGCTCCTGGGAGACACAGACCAGAGCACATGGCTGCAGCGAAGAGGGTATTGCGCTACCTGTGCAGTACGTCGGGCATGGGGCTTGTGCTTGGAGGGCGGAGTCCAGTGGTCCTTACCGGCCACGCGGACGCTTCTTGGGCTGACGACCAGGCTACGCAGCGGTCGTCACAGGGTTACACCTTCAGCCTTGGTTCCGGTTCTGTCTCGTGGCGGTCTACTCGCTCGTCTTCGGTTCTCGGCTCCAGTTGTGAGGCTGAGATCTACGCCGGGGCCATGGCTGCACAGGAGCTTTGCTGGCTCACCTACCTGCTGACTGACCTTGGAGAGCCGCCTCGTTCTCCTCCAGTGCTGTACGTAGACAACAAGGCCATGCTGGCCTTGTGTCGAGAGCAGCGCTTGGAGCACAGAACGAAGCACATTGCTCTCCGCTACTTCCTTGCTCGTGAGCTGCAGCAGCGTGGTCAGTTGCGACTTGCGTACGTGGCCTCTGAGGCCAACACTGCTGATGTGTTCACCAAGGCACTCGCGCCTTGTGACCATCAGCGCTTTTGCACCCAGCTGGGTCTTGTGCCTGTCTTGCCTCACTTGCTCTCCTCTTGACTTCACTTGTACTGTGACATATATATATACCTGCTCTTGCTTGTCTAGTTTTATATATATGTCTGTACTCCTGCATGTGAGCTGGCCTCTGGCCCTGCTCTTGTGCTCGGACTGTGTGGTGACTTTGTGATCCACCCTGAGCTTGCTTTGCTTTGCTTGACTAGTCTTGTGACCCCTTGTTCTCCCCCACTTTGCCTATGGGGGTGTGTCAAACATTAGATATGTTCTGCTTGTGTAGGCTACAGTGGGTTAGCCTATAGGGGATACACAATTCTAGGGTTTCCTACTTGTACTCATTTCACTGCTAGTTCATTCATTCCTGTTCGCTTATTCTCACAGAACATTCCTGCTTCGACGACTTCGCAGCAGTCGCAGCGCCAGTTTGAGGTTCCGAAACTTCGCTCGCCGGAATCGTTCGACCGTAGCGATCGAAAATCCGACGTTACGCGGTGGCTCGCGACGATGGAAATTTATTTCACGGCGATCGGATGGTCGACGACGGAGTACGACGGCGAGAAAATTCGTCTCGCGACAACGTTGATGCGCGGTCCAGCTCTCGAGTGGCTCGGGAGCAACAGTAGCATTTTCCAGGGCGAAGCCACGTGGCAGCAGTTCCGGGCAGACATTCTCAAACGTTTTGAGCCGATTAATTCCACTTATATTGCGCGCGAAAAAATACATCACCATAGGCAATTCGGGAGTGCCGCGCAATACACGCAGCAGATGGAGGAATTTTATAATCGCATCCCCGGCATTACCAAGGGCGAAAAAATTCAGTCCTACATCGCGGGGTTGAAAACCGACAATCGGCGCCAGGTTGCAGCAGCGAATTGCAGCAGCTACAGCGAAATCGTATCGGCCGCGGAGCGTTTTGACTTGGTCAACTCCGAAACACGACGGCCCCACGTCGTCGGATCACGACAAGGGGATCGCTCGGCTTCAACCACGTTCGCCGACCCCATGGAAGTCGACAAATTCGACGCGAATTCACGACCTGCAAAAAACAAAACGTTTTGCGAATTTTGCGGCGGAAACGGACATCGGATTGTCGGCTGTTTTCACATGAAATCTGCACGTGCGGCATTCCGAGCTCGTGGGAGTGACAAAACTAAAGACAAAAAGTCAAAAAACGGATCTTGCCAGTGATTGCGGATCGTGCTGGCGAGGAAAAGCAGATCCGAAAGCGTCAGCGCAATCTGGACCGAATCGAAATTGAAGGACAGCATTGGGCGCGAGATTTGGAGAATCAAGGGCGAAATCGCAAGCCCCTTGACCGAAATTTGTCAGAGGGATTCGCCGAGGAAAAGAAAACCTCCGCGAAAACAGACTCGACCAAGACGGAAACTCTCCAATTCGACCCCGGAAAAAAAACAGAATTCGTTAAAGTTATCGTTCAAAGATGCTTTAATGAAGACGGGTGATTTTCGCGGGTCCGGAGCCATAAAAAAATTCCGAGAAGAACTTCAGAGGAAGCAGACAATTAAAGAAGTGGTACCGGTGCCTACGGAGCTGGGGAAAAAATTAAGGAGTGTGGAAAGGAGTAGACATTTTCACGGCGTGAACGTCCTCTCCCGGAACCAGCCCAAGACGACACTCCACTCCCTAGGGAAGAAGTCTATGGAGCTGAAGCAGCTGAAGAGGCAGCTGGGAGTTCAAAAGAAGCTGCGGAAACTCCGAAAGCCCCTCCAGAATGCATCCAGTGGATCGCAGGCGTCGACCGAATCCACCCCCTCAAGGTCAACCTGTACGGTTGTCAGAACATTATAGCTTATGCTTTTGTGTAGGCTGTAGTGGGGTAGCCTATATAAGGTACAAACCAATAAGGGTTAGTTATTGTACCCAACTCTTTCATACTGCATTCATTCTCGTTCATTTCTCACATGGTATCAGAGTTGTCTTGGGTTCGAATCCCGGTGTATGCACATGTTGGCCGTTGCCACTGTGCTCAGTCCTGGGCCTCCCAGTGTGGGGGGCTGTCAGTAGAGCTACACTGTGAGATCCCCGATCGATCCTAGGGGGGGTTACAGGCGCGTTTGCCTGGGGGGTTATGGGCGCACTGACCCGCTACTGAAACAAGCCCTTTTATCCCAATGGTCTAGTGGTGCTGGGGGTGCTGAGCCTGGGAGTGCTGAGCCTGGGGGTGCTGAGCCTGGGGGTGCTACGCCTGGGGGTGCTACGCCTGGAGGTGCTGAGCCTGAGGGAGCTGGGCCTGCTCGTGTGGCGTCTGGCGATGCTGTGCCTGGCTGTTCTCCGGGTGCTTCGTCTCGCCGGGAGCCACTCTCTCCACACGAGTTGCGTGAGTGATTTGCCCGGCGCTGGAGGAGAGCTGCTGGAGCTGGAGGTGCTGCGGGTACTGGAGGTTCTGCTGCTGCTGAGGGTGCTGGTGCCTCGGGTCCCGGAGGTGCTCGTACTGGGAGAACTGGAGCTGCTGGGCCAGCGGGTACTTCAGGAGTTGGAGCTGCTGCGGGTGTTGACGCGGTGGCTACTGCTATCGGTCCTGGAGGCGCCCCTGCTGGGGGTGCTACTGGTGCTGCTGGAGGTACTGGAGCTGGAGGTGCTGCTGGTGCTGGTGCTGTCGCTGGGGGTACTGGTGCTGTCCCTGCTGTGTCTGGAGTCGCCGTGCGGCCTCGGCCGTACTTCGTTCCGCTCCTTCAGCAGGTTCTTGGTCTCCCGCCTTCTACTGGTCCTCCTCCTCCCTTAGAGTGTCCACAGCCTGTCCCGTCACAGTTACAGTTACAGCCGGCCTCCCCACTGCCTGCTCCGTCTCCCTACACTGGTCCTACTGGAGGTCTTGCTGAGCGTCGTGAGCCTGCGTCTCGCCCTGCGTCGCCTGTCCGTGCTGCTCGCACTAGTGGTCGCGGTTCGCGTCAGCGTCCTCCTCCTATCCCTGGCACGCACCGGATGTCTCTGCGTCCGTCCACTGCTCCTCTGCGTGCCCCTTTACCTTCTCCTCCTGAGTCTTCTCTTCCTGCTCTTGCCGACCCGGAGTCGGACTCTCTTCGTGCTGCCAGTCCTACTGTCACGCGTCTCCTTGCTACTGTTGTCACTGACCCTTCCTTTGAGCCCACTGTTGCGTCTGCCCTAGTTGCTGAGCTCGTCGACTTTGCTGCTCGCTGTCGCCTAGACTACGCCGCCAGTCTTGTTGCTGAGTCTGAGTCTGTCTGTCCTCCGTCCGTCGGGGGTGAGTGTGCCCTTGGCACGGACGTCCTTGAGGACAGGCAGGAGGAGTTCCAGTGTCTGGCTGCTGCTTCACCTCATCTCGTGTCCGTACTGCTTACCCCTGAGGGAGACCCGGATGCACTAGACATCCCGACTCCGCGCTATTACGCGGAGGCGATGGAGGGTCCCTACTCCTCTCAGTGGCAGGCAGCTATGGACGCAAAGATGGCTTCCAAGAAGTCCACAGGCACCTACGTTGACGAGGTTCCCCCGCCTGGGGCGAACATCGTCAGTGGCATGTGGATTTTCAGGGTGAAGCGGCCGCCGGGTTCTCCGCCTGTCTTCAAGGCGCGTTACGTGGCTCGTGGCTTCAGTCAGCGGCAGGGAGTTGACTACTTTCAGACCTTCTCTCCCACCCCGAAGATGACC